TGTGCTATGGTGAGCACTGTGAATTGTGCAAGACTGTTGAATCACAGACCTGTACCTCTGAAACAAATAATACATTATATGTTAAAAAAAAAAAAAAAAAGAAGAAGAAGAAGAAGATAGCAGGAGGGGAAGAATGAAGGGGGAGACGAACCATGAGAGACTATGGACCCTGAGAAACAAACTGAGGGTTTTAGTGGGGGGATGGGTGAGCCCAGTGATGGGTATTAAGGAGGGCACGTTCTGCATGGAGCACTGGGTGTTATATACAAACAATGAATCATGGAACACTACATCAAAAACTAATGATGTAATGTATGGTGATTAACATAGCATAATAAAAACTAATGATGTAATGTATGGTGAGTAACATAACATAATAATAAAAAAATAAATAAAAATAATAATAAAATAAAATAAAATCCTGTGCAATCCCATAGGATGCAATGAGAAGAAAAAAAATTCATAATCGCAACATCCTGAACAGTAGCAGCAAACAATAATGGGTTAGCCTGGTGATGGGTATTAAAGAGGGCACGTACTGCATGGAGCACTGGGTGTTATATGCGAACAATGAATCATGAATCACTACATCAAAAACGAATGATGTAATGCATGGTGATTAACATAACATAATAAAAAAATAAATCTAATTAAAAAAATAATTTGTTTTATTACAGGCATCTGAAGAGTATTTTGAGCTTTTCAAAGCACTTTGATGTACATATCACATATGCAGCACATGCCTGTATCTCAGGAAGGATGGCAAATGATTAAACTGAGCAAAAGAACAAAATGAACAAAATGATAAATGAAAAAAAAAAAAACGAATGAATGGGGCATCTCCAGGGAATAGCATGACGAAAGAAAATGAGACTGCATCCACTGGTACTAAGAAGTCCCTTCGATTCTACAATGCAGGTTCCATCAGGTGGTTCTCAGGGAAGATGAAGAGGTAGCCTGCTGGTCTCTCCTAGGCTCCATGTTTCCGATGCCATCACTTGCTGGGCATTTTTACCCCAAAAATAACATCTTCAAACCTGAACACACTCCCGTGCCCTGAACCCAGCTATTGTTTTCCATCCCAGAAAGCAGTTCCACCACTCATCTCTCAGCCATCCAAACCAAAAGCCTAGGAGTATCGTCTTTGGCCCTCTTCTCTCACCCCCACATGCCCTATCTGATAGTCTGTCCAAATTCTGTCTTAACTGGCTAAAAGTCTCGTTCTGAACTCCACAGTCTATTGGGCTAGGATGCTGCTGTGTCGACAAACTCTTGACCATCTCCACTCTTAAAGGTGAAACCCCACTCCTGATGCACCAAGGACATACCTAGCCAGTGGCCTGTCAGACCTAGAAGAACCAGAATACATCCCCATCTGCCCTTGCTGAACTGGCCCCCTGGTATCTTCCTGAGCTATACCTGGGCACTTGTAGCCTGAGCTCCTGCTTTAAGCCTCTGCCACCAGGGCCCCGCACAGAGTCTGGCCCAGGGAAGGGGCTCCAGAGATGTTTGATGGGAAGGCCTACGGCTGCAGTGGACTAGACCATGAGGCTGGTCTCAATAATTGCCAGGCTCCCTACTACCCAAGCCCATGCTCCAGAGGATGCATGGAGAGTAGACTCCATCAAACCATGTGATGGGGAGCTCCCTGGGCCAAAAGACTTAGTGCTAAACACTGAATTGATCTGTGACCTTGGTCTGATGATTCTGAGCCTTAGTCTTCCTCCCGTCTACCTCTCGGAGCTGCCTTAAGGACCAACATAATGGGCACACCCCCAAAGTGGCATGCTGGTGTGGCGCGGTATACCAGTGGTTCTTCAATGTGGGTGTGCCTCAGCATCACTCAGAGGGCTCCTTCAAGGACAGAATTCTGGGCTCCACCCCCCAGAATTTCTGAATCATTCGGTCAGGGCATGGGGCCTAAGAATTTGCATTTCTAATGCATCCCCCAGGGATGCTGATGCTGCTGGTCCAGGGACTACGTTTTGAGAACCAGTGCTCCAGACCACTTTAAGAGCACTGCTTTTCCACAGCAACCTGGTCTTTCTCCAGGAAGCATGCTATTTTAATATTCGGCTTTATGTTTATGTTTTACCCTTTTTGCTGTTTTGCTGGAATCTTAACGGAGTCTGTAAATTCCTCTGGGCAGAAATTACACCTTCCACATTCCACATTCTCTCATATTCTGTTTTGCAAAATAATGAGTACATTTCCAGTGTGATTGATAATAGAAAAAGGAATGGGGGGGGTACTCAGAGAGTACCAACCCCAATAAACAGCATCCACAAATGGATACCAGCCCTGAAATCCACTTAAAAATTAATTATGAGGCAAAGAACATTCTACCATCAGTGGCAATGTGGGAGAGAAGATTATGTTCTTGATGACATATTTTGTAAAATGTGGGTTATTTAAGATTTTAGCTGTAACTTACTTAAACACCAACATTTTTTGAAATATAAAACCACAAACAGCATTTCAACTCATAATTTTTATAGTGATAGTCAGACAATTGTGTTTTCCACATGTAAAATCCATTACACAGTCGTGGCAACAGTTTGCAATAGATTGTAAATTTTTATTGAGATGATCATCTTGCGATTGAATTTCAAAAATGTATTATATGATCATCAGCAAATAAGTCCATGGGGGCTGCTAAAGTACTTTGAGTATCATTTATAAAGATCAAAAACCCTGGAAACTCTTAGATTTACCCCGTGGAAAGAGAAAAGTCTCATCGGCAGGATCAAATCAATTACTTTTATGGATGAATATTGAATTGCAAAGCTGAGATAAGGTATTACCTTGTTTAATAACATAATCTTATGTCCTAAAATAGGTTTCATAATCGGGTTTCAATAAGGAATTTTACAAAAGGCCCGCTTTTGAAAATAATCAAGAAAATGGCATTTCCATTTATCACAGTGGTTCGATGACGTTCAAAAGAATATTCCCAAGCAATGGACATCCTCACTAACCTTGGGTTCCATACTGTCGAGATGCACTATTGAGGTACTTAAGAATGATTACCGTCAATTCTGCTATAGCTCTTGTTTTGACAACGCGAATGTTGTTCCAACGTGATTGACATATTAGGGGACAATTTGAGCATAACACGAATGTCACACTTGCTATGTGTGATTCTGTGTGGAAAACACTACTGAAGCAGAAAACTCCACCCAGCTCAACGGAGCCACACAGGAATACACAGACCGTACCCACCTCAAACATCCACTTGCTACGTCCATTGGCTGGACGTGCTAAGAGCCACATCCATCCACAGCGGGTGTCACGACTTTCCACCATGTTCAGAAAGCACTCTTCACCACCACTGTTGCCCACAGGTTGCAACCTTTCTGACACACACTTCCAAAGCAAACTTCAGGTCCCTTCAAGGAAACACCTCATATACACTGCAGTATATATGCATATCCTACACCATTAACATGCGGGACACTGTGCCATCACTTTTACTTACTTCCCTCTCTTTTTAAATGTGTCACTGATGAAGTAGTACTTCAGTACTTTTTCCCGTTACTCTGATGGTTTTTACTGTATAACTTTCCATATTGCAGTGATTTTTAGGGACACATAGTATAGTAGAGCTAACTGTATTTTGCTATGCTTTCTTGTTCTATGAGGTCACTGTGCTGATGGGTCCTTTTCTCCCCACCCAGAAGCCATCAGTGACTCTTTTCCCAGTGGAAGCCAATGGCCCATGCTGCCACGTCCCTTGCCCACCAGTGGAAGCTCTGTATTCCATGCTGATGGTGCACACCCCTCTGTTTGCACTGTGGTGTGACCGATCATCAATGGCATTAGGGTCAGAAAAACCTGAATGCAAATTCTGACTGTGCCAGTGGTCAATTCTACCCCTTTGTACAAAAAGTCTTAAAATATTGGGTCTCTATTTCTTCATGTATATATGAGATAAAGTACTTACATCAAATGGTTAGAGGAGAAAAATGAGAACATATAAATAATGGGATATAAAGGAAAACAAAACAAGACAAAGCAAAACACTGAGTTCTTTTAACTTCTTGAGTTCCATTCAGAGCTGGAACATATCAGGGATACAGTCAGAGATACAATCCTAGCCAATGCTCCTCCAGAAGCCTGGAGTCCCCAGAAATATTTATGCAGTTGGATCAAAAGAATCTTCTTAGACACAGTCCCAGACACCAAACTCTTAAGTGGCATCCAAAAACCTCAGAGAAAGTGCTGGAGTCACTAGCCCCCAGAGTGCACTGAGCCAGGAGCTTGCAGAGATACAGAATCCAGACAACCCCTGGAGGGACAGTCCTAGTCCAGACTCTCAGGTTGGAACTAGGAGGCTCCGAGGGATACAGAGCCAGAAAGTTCTTAGAGATTAAAGCAGTTCCAGAATCCACTGAAAGACACTTTCAGAGCCAGGAGGTACTCAAGATATGGTTGGCACCAGGAACCCTTCAGAGACAGAAGGAGAAACCCTCAGGGAAACTATGAAAACCAAGGGCTCATTAGGGTCATAGGTCCAGCCATGGATCCTCACAGACAAAGTTAAAATCACAAACACCTTAGATATATAACAAGAATCAGAAGGACTCAGGGATATAGTTCAAACAAGGCCTTTAACAAGGCACACAGGGCCAGGAGCCCTCAGGGACCTAAGACCAAGAAACCTCAGGGACACTTTTAGTACTAGGAAGCCTCAGACATACGGAGACACCAGAAGTCCTTGCAGAGACAGAACCAATGTCCCACTGGAAACACTTCAGGACCAGGAATGTCTCCCTGACATAGCTGGAGTCAGGTGGCTTTACAAACCACAGTCAAAGCTAGGCCATCTCCAGAGTTACTGCCAGACCCTGAAAGTCCTCTAAGGCAAGATCAAAACCCTATTGCTCTCTACAACAGGACGCACACTCCCATCAGAGAAGTTTCGGGATGATTGTCACTGATGCCAGGAGGAGGATCAACTGCCCAACCTCTCAAAATGGAGCTATAAACGAAGTTCTTACCTGCACATTTGGTTCTGGTGGTGAGGGGAGGCCCTGGTGGTCCCGTGCCTCCCTCCCCTGGTCGTGTGAGCAGCACCCGGATCTCATACTCCACGTCAGGGTCCAGATGCCACAGCTTATAGTTGGGAGAGTCAACTATGTGGGTCTCGGCCCAAGTGCCCGTGGTGGTGCGATATTCCACCTCCTTCAGGATGATGGGGCCATCGCCGATGATAGAATTGGCATTTGGCTTGATCCACAGGTATGTGGCCCCTACGGCCAGCAGCTCTGGGGGGGCGATGGGTGTGGGAGGCTCTGGAAGACAAGGAATCAGCAAAGGATGTCAGACCCAAGCGGTTTAGAGAGAAGAATCGAAGCATGTAAAGACTAGGACAGAATTCCAGAGAGAGCTATATAGAGTCGCTCAGATCCCTTTCTTAACTCCATTCACGTCCTACTCAAATTGCCATGATTTTGTATGTGAATACCTGAGTCAGTATTCCTTCTCCCACACTACCATATCTCCTTCATTTAAAGGAAATGAACGATGGATCGTGGACCACCACATCAAAAACCAATGATGTATTGTATGGTGACTAACATAACACAGTAAAATTTTAAAAAATAAATAAAGGAAATGAAGAAAGAAGGCAACAGTGGGTAAATGGATTTTCTAGAACACAGCAAAGATGCCTAGATTAATATTCTGTTTTCTATCCTCAAATAAGAACATGCTTTACTAAAGTGGAGTTTGGTTCAAAGCCCAGGGGAGTCTGAGATTTACAAACATTTCTTTCATAGCAACACAGAGGTTGTCAGTGGAAGTTCTCCCCAAATAGTGCTAGGAGCCTAAGAAGCAAAAGGATGATGGCGCAGCAAAAATTCAGCTTACTCCTCAACTCCAGTGGGTTCCCTCCATCAGGGCGAGTGTCACTGGCACAGTGGCCCCTGTGGGAATCAAGGGTCAAGGGAAAAGTCATGAAGAGTTATCCTGCATCCGCTATGAGTTGCCCCTCTCCCATTAAGTTCTACTTCTTCAGCTAAATAAATGAGAATTTCAACAGGCCCTCACAGTGGGTCTTACTGGCAATTCTTAGCCCTCTGGCAAAGCTGCAGAAATTAACATTAACTTTGTATTCCTTATTTACCAAGAAATCTCATATGCATTACTTTGTGCAAATCTTCCACCTCCATTTTGATGGATAAAAACAAAGAACCCAAGCAATGGGGTCACCTAACGGAGATCATGAAGCTTACAGGTAAGGCAGGATGGAACCCACATCTCTATGCCTTCCCTTACCAGCTATTCCCTTGGAAAGCTGTTTGCCTCTAGATGTCCATTTTCTAAAAATCAAAGTGTATGTATTTGCTATTTTTGTCTGTAGCAGAAAATAGCAGAACAAAAAGAAAATAAGTCCCCTTCCCTATGACCCAATATAATAGCCATTTTTATTTCTCCATGTTCCAATTTGTATTCATATATTTAAGCCTTTTTCATACAGCTACAGCAACACATAGACCCAATGTTTTTCTTCCCTCACTTACTACATTCTAAAGACTGTTCACAACATGGATTTTGTTGTCACTGTCTTAGATAGCTACAGAACCATCTATCAGGTAACCCCACTAACTAATCTCAAATGGCTGGGCACATGAGTTCCAAGTTTTGCTATGGTAAATAATGCTGCAGTGAACAGCTCTGTGCCAATGACTCCAGTTTTCCTTGTCTTATGGTTTTTTTTTTTTGGAACCAACTGCCAGAAATGGGATCTGTCAATGGATATGAACAAGTTAGTGACTCTTGGGGTAGAATTAGGAAGTGGAGGGTGAGAGGAAGCATCTGGGGGTGGAGTACAACATAGATATGTTCGAGAACTTTTGGAGGGCCTCTGGGCTATTCAGGTGAGTGAGGCAGGTACAGGTTTCAGTCTGAAACTCAGGTGAGAGCTTCAGGATAGATTAGACTCCTTCCATGTTTGCTCTTTAACTAATTACCTAGCCACAAAGATTCTCCAGAGACAGAATAATTGCTATGAAACAGAGGTGGACAATATTTTCTCAGTGTGACTTGAAGCAAATCTTAAGGGACAACTTCAGATTGCCTCTATTATAGCCTGCCATTTGGTCAGAGAAGGAAATTAAGCAGATTAGTCAGGCTAGATGTTTTTCTTTACAAAGCCATGAAGGTTATTACTCAAGGCCTTGTTATCTCAAAGGTGTTTGCAAATTGATTTTTGGATAATTTGTTCCAGGTAGAGAAGTTAAGTTGGCAGGCAGATAATTTCTGGGCTCATCCTTTGTGCATTTTATTTTTTTTTTAAAGATTTTATTTATTTATTTGAGACAGAGAGAATGAGAGAAAGAGAGAGCATATGAGAGGGGGGAGGGTCAGAGGACGAAGCAGACTCCCTGCCGAGCAGGGAGCCCAATGCGGGACTCGATCCAGGGACTCCAGGATCATGACCTGAGCTGAAGACAGTCGCTTAACCAACTGAGCCACCCAGGCGCCCCCCTTTGTGCATTTTAAATATACAGACCCTCGTATCACCATTGTCAACTCTCCAGAGTTCCCGTCAGTTTCCAGGGAGGCCCCCAGGGTGGTATATGGTAGCTCTGTGACGACTCTGCCCAACTCCTTAATGTAATTATTCACAGGCTGGCCCTGGACAGAATTAAGTGCAGCAGACTTCAATACTTTGGGGCTTGAGCAAGTGGCCACATTAAGCTCTCTCCCATTGACTTTACACCACGATTTTTGCTCTATTTCAGGCATTAGCAGTAAATTGCTGACCACCAGAAAGAAAATAAAGTATCACTCTTTCCAAATGTTCGGTCTCCTTTCACGAATTTCCGATGGTAGGTACAATACAGTAACAAACGTTCCCTCGAGTAAATAAATGTCTCCATCTCAAATGACTTAGTAGTTCACATGTCCCTGTGCAGACTAGCCAATGAGGTTCTCTCTCCCTCTGTCCCCTCAAGAATATATCATGAAGTACATCAAAGCGCTTCAGCTACTTGGTTCTAAGCAGCCATCAGATTATTGTTTTGTTTTCTCTTTTGTTAGTAACCACTGATTTATAATTGGTATTCTTTTAGAAGTCACACGGCCGAGTGATTCAGAGAGAAAAGTAGGGATGAGACACATTATTATATTTATATATTTATACTATTATATATATTTATTATATATAATGTTTATATATTATTATATTTATATATTATATATATATATTTTTTTTTTTGGTAAGCACCTCCCTTTTTTAAGTGAAAAGAAAGACCATGTTTGTCAGTTCTCCTCTTTGACATGACCTGTTCAACCAGATAGTGCAAGAAATCGAGGAGGCCATCTAATCCAACAGCCAGAGACTTCAGGAAGGAAACCAAGACTGGGGAGGGCTCATGGCCTGTTAAGTAGAAGAAGGTGGGGGTGGGGCATCAGAACTCAGGGCCCAAGCAGCATTCTTGCTCCTTTCTTCTTCTTCTTGTACATCAGATGTTTAAGTAATTAGCCAGAAAGGTCACTAAGGGGTGTCTTTCCTAGTAGTTTTTAACTTTTGAGGATGCATAGGCCCTTGCAAAGATCTGATGAGAAATCCCAGCCTCTCTTCCCAGGAAAATGCACATAAGTCTATTACTGAGAGTTACGCCCACCATTTCAGGCATTCACGAACCCTTCTGAAGCCTATGCATGAACCCCTGAAGAGACTATGTTGAGAATAAAGGAAAAACACAGAGATCCTGTTGACAGACCACATGCCCATAATAGTCTACAATTCTTTGGGACCCCGAAACCATCCTTTGTTGCAGTCCATGGCAGGGGCTAGAAGTTGGGAGTACAATCATGTAAGGAAATGGAACTTGATGTTAGGTTCACAGATCTAGTGCTTGCAGGCTCCCAGGGTCCCAAATATCTGGGTGAAAATAAACATGCAAAGATTTCCATAGGACAATGCAAAGTAAATGTGTAGGTCCTCATGGCCATAACCCACCCAACACATTCATAAATTTCACATTTGGGCTAAAATATTTAATGGTTAAACATATGACCCTACTGGCAAAAATGAACTATTGGGACTTCATCAAGATAAAAAGCTTTTGCACAGCAAAAGAAACAGTCAACAAAACCAAAAGACAACTGACAGAATGGGAGAAGATATTTACAAATGACATATCACATAAAGGGCTAGTATCCAAAATCCATAAAGAACTTTTTAAACTCAACACCCAAAGAACAAAAAATCCAATCAAGAAATGGGCAGAAGACATGAACATTTTTCCAAAGAAGACATCCAAATGGCCAACAGACACATGAAAAAGTGCTCAACATCGCTCATCCAAATCAAAACCTCAATGAGATACCGCCTCACACCAGTCAGAATGGCTAAAATTAACAAGTCAGGAAATGACAGATGTTGGCGGGGATGCGGAGAAAGGGGAACCCTCCTACACTGTTGGTGGGAATGCAAGCTGGTGCAGCCACTCTGGAAAACAGTATAGAGGTTCCTCAAAAAGTTAAAAATAGAGCTACCCTACGACCCAGCAATTGCACTACTGGGTATTTACCCCAAACATACAAATGTAGGGATCTGAAGGGGTATGTGCACCCCGACGTTTATAGCAGCAATGTCCACAATAGCCAAACTATGGAAAGAGCCAAGATGTCCATCGACAGATGAATGGATAAAGAAGATGTGGTATATATATACAATGGAATATTATGCAGCCATCAAAAGGAATGAGATCTTGCCGTTTGCAATGACGTGGATGAAACTGGAGGGTATTATGCTGAGCAAAATCAGTCAATCAGAGAAAGACATGTATCATATGACCTCACTGATATGAGGAATTCTTAATCTCAGGAAATAAACTGAGGGTTGCTGGAGTGGTGGGGGGTGGGAAGGATGAGGTGGCTGAGTGATAGATATTGGGGAGAGTATGTGCTGTGGTGAGCGCTATGAATTGTGTAAGACTGTTGAATCACAGATCTGTACCTCTGAAACAAATAATACACTATATGTTAAAAAGAAGAAGAAGAAGAAGAAGAAGAGGAGGAAGGAAGGAAGGAAGGAAGGAAGGAAGGAAGGAAGGAAGGAAGGAAGGAAGGAAGGAAGGAAGGAAGGAAGGAAGGAAGGAAGGAAGGAAGGAAGGAAGGAAGGAAGAAGAAGAAGAAGAAGAAGAAGAAGAAGAAGAAGAAGAAGAAGAAGAAGAAGAAGAAGAAGAAAGCAGGAAGGGAAGAATGAAGGGTGGGAAATCGAAGGGGGAGACAAACCATGAGAGACTATGGACTCTGAGAAACAAACTGAGGGTTCTAG